TTTGTGACCAGTTTTAGATCCTTTTTATATATGGATATGTTTATATATATATCTGATGTTTCCGTTTATTTGATCTTTCGCAATATTACACGTGATTTTTTAAGACTTAATTTTGCGCATTACCATTATATCTACATCACCAACCAAGCTCTATAATTCAAACATATCTTCGTACTCCTACCGTTTGTTACTTACTGGTAAATTGTGGGGTGTCTTTGTCCACCTTAAGTCGTGCCGACACACAATTCTCATTCAATATGAAACAGAATTCGATTGTAAATGCAACAACCATGGTTAGAATGTTTGGACAATTTTCAGCTTTTTTCTTAAGTATATCAATATTGAAGGATTATTCAAAATAGCAATCGGCTGGCAGCCTGACGTAGTAATATGTTTAAACACCAGCGTTAGAATTTAGTATTAACTATTCTATCATTATTCTTTGTCTTGTATTTTTGTATTGTTGTTTATAGTTTGTGTCTTACACATAAAGCAGCAGCTTTCCTCGAAAAATTGATAGTTTTATCCTGATACCCTGTCGCTGTTACCTCCAGGCTAAACTATCGATTTACTTAATACGCATCCAATGCACACTCGTCAGTAAGGACTAGTATCTTTATTTGACCACACTGTCAATTCTAACGAAGATTTCACTGAAGTTCCGTATTTAAACATTTCTATATTTTTTAGCCATGTTGATAATGAATGTATTAAATATTTAATCTACATTGAATTTACTGGACAACCCGACTTAAAATGTTCCTATCATGATACAGAGTGACTGAAATCATGTTTTCAGCAGAGATTAGTAACAAAAACAGGTACATAACCAGCTATACAAATTTAACATTAAGACCAACTGGTTGTGTGTGCGATTATTATAATTTTTTAGAATATGTCATATATTTCTTACAGTTCACGCAAAGACGTGATAAGTGGCTCTATTTGGTATTATGAATAATATGTAGTGATACAGTATGAAGATGATAATTTAATACATCGCTGGGCACATTTTATCAAATGGTTTTACAGCTAACAGAATCCAAAATTACAATATGCGTTTTACAAAGGTTATTCCATATATAATATAAGCGTCAGAAACTATCAATTTCAAAGTATTCCCATCATTTCGCTGTTATAGAAACATGTGTAAATGCAAATTAAAGACAATTTGTTCACAATTGAATGCTAAAAATACCATTTAATTATTAAATAAATATATTGCAATGCTCCTTTCACCTCGAATATATTAATATTTGCTACTATGAAGATTGAAGATTCATAATTTGTTGATTAACTTCGTTCACAATAATAACATGAAATAATCTTGAATTTATATAAAATGAATTTATAGCATTCTGAAAGCTTCATTTGATCAACAACTGTAACAAGGGAAATTTGAACCGATGCATATGATAAATGTTCGTGCTTTATAGTGACTCGGTCATTTATTTCACCGAGTAAAAATAGAAAATAGAGATAGAAAAATTTAACAATTTTTATTATAAAAAAAACTGCCATTGGCACATCAATGTACCAACAGACTAGATTTATTTTTTATATGTTAGCAATTTTAATCATGTCAAATATTCGAATAAGTTTTAATGCATTTTTCTATGTTAAAATATATATAACAAATTAAGTGTACAACTGTTTGATCCTTTCTATTTTTTGGTTGGTTAGGGGGTAACGTAAGAAAAATACACTAATTAGTGAGGTCATGTTACAACATGAGCTCGTATGTGTTAGTTTTCCAAGTCTCGAATTATTGTTACAGAAAAATGCAGTTCATAAAAAATATTAAAGAAGATAGTGAGTAACTTAATTACTACTGTAAGTACTCATTTGTCTGATAGGGTTGAATACGTTTGGTCTGTATTCGAATATATATCATACATATCATAATAATCCCAAATATATTTTGTTTCATTTTAATACAATTGCATATATTTATTAAAAAATACTGCCAAAATATTTCACCCGACGTTGTTTGAAATTCTTATACTTGAAGTGAAACAAACAGTTGAACCTGCGAGTGGTTTGTCCCAGAACATTTCATTTTGAACCAAGAAGTGGCGAAAAATCGAACCGTATTTGTTTAGTTTGGTAATTCAGTGATAGCCGAATCAATAATAATACAGACAACATAAATTTACCTGATATAGCTTTAATTCCTTTAAAGCTTTACGATGGCTTCTCCCTGATATAGCTTTAGTTCCTTTACACCTTTACGATGGCTTCTACCTGATATAGCTTTAATTCCCTTACAGCTTTACGATGGCTTCTCCCTGATATAGCTTTAGTTCCTTTACAGCTTTACGATGGCTACCTGATATAGCTTTAATTCCTTTACAGCTTTACGATGGCTTCTCTTCAAGTTTGATTCGTCGGTCTCTGCTGGCTTCAGTTTATCATTCTTCGCTTCGTTTTTATTATGTGCATATGTAAATATTGTTTTATCAGCTGACTAGTGCTATCTACGTTATAACTGTTATATACAGAAAATTCTGTAGAAATATATACTTTATTATATATACGTATATACGTAAAGTGATGCTGTTTGAGTAACTTACTATATTGCTATTAATGCTCATCACCGTTATACAATTTGATTACATTTACTGTCATATAATTTAATTTCATTTATACAAAATATCGTTTATTGTTAGTGTTGAATGACAGGTATATGACTTATCCTTATCTATTGTTATATAAGCATAAGTTGCAAATATAGAATGGTATCATTTGTCTGTTTTGCTTTACGATTTATTGCTCTTGAAGAAAGTGTGTCTCAAAGATGATCTAAATTCTTCCTAACGGTCGATGTACGTGGAAAGCATCACTGCGTCTACGATGTCAGTGAATCAGGAAGACACCACTCCATTTAAACGGTCGGTGAATTAGGAAAACATCACTGCGTCTACTATGTCAGTGAATCAGGAAGACATCACTCCATTTAAACGGTCGGTGAATCAGGAAAACACCACTCCATTTAAACGGTCGGTGATTCAGGAAAACACCACTCCATTTAAACGGTCGGTGAATTAGGAAAACATCACTGCGTCTACAATGTCGGTGAATCAGGAAGACACCACTCTATTTCAATGGTTGGTGAATCAGGAAAGTACCACTCCATTTTTATTGTCAGTGAATCAGGAAAACACCTCTCCATTTACGCTGTCGCCGAATCGATTATTTTTGTTAATTCTTTTTTTTTTGAAATAAAAGCAACTGAGATGTTCTTCGAAAAACAACTAACGTCTTTATAAGTTGACTACATGCTGCGTAAATATATATAACGATTTAATATTTCAGGATTTGTTTGTACTTGCTCTAATGTTCCTAACTGTCCAGCAGAGTCAACCACCTAATTATGTAATAAATTATTCACATGAAATTTACTCGAGGAAAATTTAAAATGTGTCCATTTAAAAAATAACTAAGTACGGTAAAATACAATTGTCAACAGCTTATTAAGATGATAAATTAAGACATACTATTGGCACAAAGACTACCCATCTTTCTCGTTTTATGTGATTTACTGGTTGTCTTCTAGTTCGAAATGTTCGTTCTTAATATGATCTTCCGTCGTAATGATAGGGATGTACCTACAGGAGAAAATATGTTTAACAGTGCTATACAGTGCTCCTCTCTTATCGTGTCTTCTGTTGATTTTTGAATTTTACATCAATCGCTGGAGAATATTATATCATGATACTATCAGAAGCATGCTAGAATGTATATCCAACAGAGGGGGCCTTAACGTACCTCACATGAACTGCACGATGTTTCCAATAATACAACTGATTTGATTAATTGATGTAGTCTAACTGCAAAAATCTAAAAAAAAAATGTTAAAACTGAAGAATTTATCAATAGCGATGCATGAAATGTTATAAATACTGGAATGTTTATCAGAATATAACGTTTAATTTGTATCCATGTAACTCATTATATTCATGATGTTAAGATGTAATTCATAGATCTCAGCGATTCTAGCCAACATTCAAGATGAAGAGCCCTCATTTCTTTTTTCCCTATTGTAAGGAACTTTTGGTGTATCCACAAAACAAAATGATTTCATAACAACACCCTCGATTCTATATAACAACACCCTCGATTCAATATAACAACACCCTCGATTCAATATGGCTCCAAGGATTCCGTTTTCTTATCATATCCTTATATCAAACATGACATAATTGACGATCACACCTATTTTTTGTTTGAGATATTTTCCAAGAGTTTACACTCGCTGCTGTACAGGAAGAGCTGTTATATAAGTAGTCAAAACTAATAACTCAGCATTCATATTGGGAGTGCAAAGGTGGTTTGATACTCAATAACATATATTTTGACTCAAAATTTACCAAACAATAAAAATACTCGCTTTTATAGTTACAACGACACCAATTAATTTAACGTGTTAGATTTGTGACAACTTTCTGTATTGAATTTCATTTCGTGTTTAGGAGTATGATTTGGTGGAATAGCATCTTTCCATCAGAATAGTGTTTTGAAATGATTTTTTTAAAGGGACCGTTTGTATTGATCAATAAGATATTTCTCACATAGTTTAAACTTAGTTGATTCTCCTTCTGTCCTGCTGCATGAACTTGACATAGATATACCGATTGAGTTCGTTAACACCAACTGCACGGCTTTGTCCCATCATTTAGAGGAACGAAGGATAGTGACAGTGATACACCTCTCCGGGTAATATACAATCGGCATGTAACATGCAGCTGTATATTAGTTCACAACACTGGCATAATGTTCAAATTTTGATAAGTTTAGCTAGGTATTTCCGAAAAGAAAATTATTCAGTTATGGCTAAATTTGTAAATACAGTGCCTATCAATATTTGAACACTTAGCCAATGAGTCGTAGATATCACAGTATTTATGCGACAAAATACTACAAATCACGGTTTGGTCATCAATAATGATTTTTAAGTCATTAAACATACAATTAAAACAATTAAGGGACAAACAAGTCACAGCTGAAACTCCACCTTAGTAAAGGTAACAAAAGTTTATTGGCAAACACTGAAGGATGTCAAAAATTGGTGTGTATCTATGTATGAATATAATTATGTATGTGATAAAATGTATCGCATGAACGACCGATAAATGAAAATATGCTTACATGTTTCATTGATGCAATATTATGATACATTTCACGGAGATTCATCCCTCGTATTCTATTGCATCCATTAAAAATATTGAAGAGGGTTTTGCTCAGAACAATGCAGTAAGCATATACCCTGAATTATATATTTACAATAAAATACACTTCATATAGAAAGCTAGCACTTTACCATATACAATAATGTCTATTAGTGCTACATTAGGGATTTCTAAAAACTAGGTTAGTCACAATTTCATAAAAACGTATAACATGGACACCATGTCTCCAATAAGAACACAACAATGAGCATATATACCGCCATGACATCATCTGGCAAGACAAAAAGAATCACGTGGCTACCACAAGTCACGTGACATGGATTTTCAATTTTCAATTCATTGAGTAGACAAATGGAAACTATGTCAGTAATATCTGTACTGAAAATTGCAATGGAAGATAAAATCCCTGGCAAAAACGAGGGAAAGCTACATTTGCAGATGATAATTAAATGTTTTCCAAAAATGAAATAATGAAATATTTGAGCAAATTCTCATAACATTGGCAAGAAAACCTACACTCTGGTGGAAAATTAACAAAAGAGTTATACGGAAATTAGATAAATTGTAATATATGAAAGAAACTGAGATTACAAAACAAGGCTTTACTCAATGGCCACTAAAAGTAATCGATAAAAAAACCCAAAGAAATATAGTTCCAGAGAGTTAAAGCTAAACAAGTAGACTATAGGTATAACGTTTACATATACCCGTATTTAGTAGTGGTCTTTAGTGGAGGCTTATTGGCTGGGTGACATTGTTCTAATGTCATATTGTTTATGTCTAAATAAATTCAGGGGGAAAAATCATTATGATGTCACATTGACAATAAAATCAAATTACATGAATTGATTGCTTCAAAAAGACCGTGGAAATTGGATAAAAATGATAAAGTTGTATATGGCACAGCAATGGTGGGAGTAAATCTTCAACTGTCATGATAACACAATAGCTTGACGTAGACAGAACTAGATTGTAGACGAAGTAGCATTATATATTGATCAACTCCGCCGCTATTATGCTCTGAGATGTGTAACCATCCTGTCGACTCAAACAAAAAATAGCTATAAAAAGATGATCTTATTAAAACAAATAACAAAAATATCATAGAATATATCCGCGTATGAAAAGTTCAATTTAAAAATCTGGATGTAATAAGCACATGAGCTTTTTGTTCACTTTATATGTTTTGTCATGAAAAACGTTTATTAACAATCAAAATTGAACATTGTAAAAGTCAGCATATAAAGCAGACGCACCTCGTCTAGTAAATTCTTTGTCTATTTTGAAAAAACAACACAAGATGATTATGCTGAACCTATGAAGAGTATGTTCTCGGGCTCTGTTAGGTCACTGGACATTACAGGTTGTCGCTACCATACAGAAATATATATCTATTATATAATATCTTTATTCGAATTAAATACATTCTATCCGGCATTTATTCTCATCACAAATAGCACGACACATAAGAACAAAACTCTCGTATTACCCTTACAATACACGATCAAGCGCTCACGTGAAAACAAATAAGTAGGAGTAAATGCATTGGTACATGGCCGGTTTGTTTCAACCAGTGCTGGAATCGTACTATTTACACATTCCAGTTATCATGTGCATGACACCAGAGAGTAAGTCTTGTTTTATTTTGCATAAAAACTAAAATAAACGGGGCTGAGGTATGCATGTTTCCTAAGAGTTATCCATGCGTCTGTCCACATAACACGTGTAATCACACGCATTCATAACACATGTGTTCCCATACGACATATTTGTCATTAGACATCACGATGTTCGTTACACATAGGAAGAGATCACATGATTCGCTCCTCGTTTTTTCATTCGTCATCAACATACGCCAGTGTTTCACCGCCATTCAGGGAAACGTTCACATGGAAATGTTTTAGTGGATATATCACATCTCGTCACCATAGCTGATCTGTGGTGTGTGAGTGGTGGCCTACGTCTTGGAGGGACTGGCTGCCGCCGCCGTAACTACTGTGGTATTGGACTCGGGCCGCCCTCCTGGTACTCCAGGTGGATAGTAGTACGCGGGGGTATCTAAACATCAAAACAAACCAATGCAATAAAACTCTAAATAATACGTATCGACAGCTAGGCTACAAGGTCTGATATTCGACATGCGTCCAAATGCTGAACAAATTTTAGCACAAATCACATAAACTAGATTATTTTAATACGGACTGTGTTCATTTCGTGAATTGCCCGTTGCTGACTTTCAATTGAATTAGTCATCATTGACCTGTATTATAAATGTAATATTTATTACCTGGCAATAATAAGTTTTTCATATAAAAAAAATATAACAAAACAACTATAAAACTATTAAATTTTTTGTAAGAATAAAAATACTATTTGTAAATATTTTCTTTGAAGCTTTGTTCTAGAAATTGGAACAAACATAAGACAAAGAAATGCAAAGAAATATCTTACTGAGAATTCCTCCAGGTCCGTATCTCATTGTCCATGCCGGGTCCGTTGTGTAGTGTGTTCCTACTGCATTGTATTGTGTGTATGGCACGGCCGTGTTATAATAATCCCCGCCTGTAAACATCAAAAACAACAATGAAATATAATTACATGTCATCCGGCTAAAAAAGAAAATTACAAAAAATTTAAAAGAAACGTTTTTCATACCAGAAGGAGAAAATATAATTCAAATGTTCTCAAATGTAATTTCAAAATAAAATTAACAAATAAAAAACCTAAATTTCGAAATATAGAAAAATAAGTAAATACATCACTGGTTTTAGTAATGAGAATGGAATGCGAGTATAAATGTGATAACAAAAGTCAGTCATTGATTGATCGGGTCAGACAAACAAGAAAAATAAGTACAAGCAATTGAAAACGGCATATATTAAATGGGGATGAAATAATGACTTGTATGTTATATTTTCTTGTGTTTACCCTCAACTATAGGCCTATGTTTACATGATGTGTGTTTACCACCGTCATACCGATTGACAAACATCTTCATAATGTTATTGTGTGATTTATACAACCTAGCACGCGATGTTTCCTAAGACGGCGGACCAATTGTTCCTTGTAACGACTAAAAATACCTGTTATGCTATTTTAACATTTTTGTTTAAAATGAACCTTTAACCGTCTCAAATAACTCCAAAGTATTGATACCGCTCTGTAATACCGAGATGGCACTAAGCCAGATTGATGGACTCGATAGCAAGGCTTTGTAGCATTTCAATAGGTGTTTATGTGTTTTTCTCTGATTTAATTGTTATATACCAATAGAGAGGTAAAGAGCTTGAAAATCATCATATTACCATGCAAACAAAGCACCGAAAAGACTAAGCATCATAGTTCGTTAGCGAGAGTGAATCTGAAGATATACGATTTCGCTAAATCTCAGTATGTCATTTACTGTTTTTAAGAGCCAGGATATGATATATATTTCTATCTTTATATTTAGTGTTCACCACGTTAGGACAGGAACGCTGGTTGCTTTGCTATTTCAAAGTACTTAAAGCAAGTAACACTCTGCAAAACACTACATTTACTACATCATAAAATTACTGCTACTCTATTTTAATAAAAGACTACAACTGAAAATCTGCAGCTTGTAAATAGGACAATCTAAAGCTAATCTCTAAAACATCCAAAATTATTTTTAAGAAGCCAACGTATAAAATCGGGCATGCTGATCTTCAATGATAAAGCGCATGTCACGGCTTCGTCCTGTCATCGAACAACATTATTAATCTGGTAATACGCTATATCACGTATTCAATAAAAATATTTTTGTCGTATTATATAATGTAACTTGGCCATGGGAAATAAGAGCTGGATTTAACTGTTGGAGGCATTTGAAATTTTATCGAAGTGCATATGTTTTTTTAATACAAAATGTGAGTTATAAGGGTTCGATTAAAGAAACGGCACATATTGGTAGTGACGGCGGGTGAAAGCGAGTGGAATCTCTGCATTGGCTTACAAATGAAGCAATTAAACTCTAACAATTACTGATCAAAGATTACCGATACTCTGATCCGTTACTCTATTAAAACTCCTCCGAGGCCAATTATTCAGGGGACCTTTCAGACAAGATAGATTAAATTGAATATGGGAATAAGAGATCTGATTTCGATATCAACACAGTGGGCACGGCGCTGGCTGCTGTATCCCGTGTTATCCGATTCCCGGGAGGGGGACTTTTAGCAGATATATGGGGATTGTTCGCCCGACAACATATTGCAACTGTAATGTTTTGTTTGCGGAACAATATTGATTGTTTCTTCGGCACAATTATCACCAGACATGTTTCATCTTCGGGTTCATATTTCTGTCATTTCTATCACAGAATAATGATTTTATCAGACAAATAAAACATTATGAATCTGTTAATTTGCCCAGTCCGTCCGCCGCACAACCTCGCTCGTACTTGCTAAAGATAATAGCAGCCTACCCTACACAGTCGAGGCTATAATACGTTTTGATGATACTCCCAATTTGTTATCTACCTGTGGTTAGATTCTAACCGATCTCATTATCCCTCGGCCGCTTTATCGTCCAACTTTCACTTCCCCGTCAGGTTGGCATTTTATTCTCCTATTTTTCCGTATCTTTATGCTTTATACAGCCAACGTGTCATTATTCTTATCTCCATAAAATACACGACTTATAAAATAAACAGAAATATCACGACTGTATCTCCATTAAGGAAACAACAGATTAGCACCGCGTGCAATTAATGGTGTTCTTTGTCAAAAGAAAAATATCACTGATATGCATGGGACTTTATCAATTATGTGATATCTTTAATTTTTTTTTACTTACACTTACTTAATTACGGAATTAAAAAGTACTTGCATAATATTAAGTCGGTATAAAAAAGGAAATGTTGCTCGAATTATTTAAAACTATAAGTGCTCAATTCTCTTTTAAAAACATTATGAAAATTGTGGAATTTAATTGGTCTATGTGTCATCATTATTCATGATGGAATTTAATGCATGAGAAAATGTCATTTTAAATGATATTGGAAAGCTTCACTTTAAATTAATATCAAAAATCTACCGAAATGATGTTGTATTCAATTGATTCGCTTTTGGAATCTCTCATGTCAAATGCACACGCAAAAACATTGCTTTGAAACTGTTTTCATGCAAACTAGAATCTGTATCAGCTGTGCACATCGCTTGTCCTGGGAGACAGGCGAGGCCCGCTCTAAGTTGATCGTTTGCTACTCCTAGTGCCATTGTTTAGTAATGTTATTAACCCATCTCCATCATTACACTACCAGTGACAAATGCACTCTCGAGGCCATTAGCGGGATATGGGAGTCTTACTTCTATTAAGTGTATTGTTATGGAAAATCGACTGTGAACATCACTTTCATGTTCCAATCACTGTTGTCGTTTTATTCCAATATTAATACCCGGGTAATTTAGCTGATGAATTGTAGCAAAAACAAGCTAAATGTTAACAAGTTTGCGTGTCAAGAAGATCGCTATTGGCGGGCCCCAATTACTTCTCATCATAGTACATGTCCTATGTATACAATGCTAGCAAATACAAATGGATTTACGGATTCCTTTACGCTTACTCTCTACTAATCAATCAGTTCAATAAGGATAGTTTTGTATTTAATAGATCCTTGAAATGTATGCTTCCTATATATATGTACTGTCAAAATAAATAATGTTCAATTTAATAAATGTAAAACATATCTTTATATTATATAAAATTATCATATAATATGTTTGAAGAGTCGTTTTGAGTAAGAAAATGACTGTTCGAAGCATGCCATATAAACAGAAATAAAATAAATAATGATGGAGAACAAAACAGATGTGTATATAATCCAATTATCTCAGAAGGGTAATATATTTCTAGAAATGCTACTTCAAGCAAAAAACTTGCCCCATAATGTATCGATAAATGTCAATTATTTACTCATAAATTTCATTTAATATACCCAAATAGCGATACAAATAAACATTGCAATGGGCTATTGAGACCCGCACTCCAGGTCGACCTCGCTCTGACGGTAAGTGGTTCTGTAAAATTACGAAATATTGATGACAGGCGCAGTGAAACGAAACGCGTCGCTATAATAAGACAGCCATAAGACGATGGCCCTTTTTGTCTTGTGTTTGTTCCATAGCAAGCACATCATCAGCGACTTTAATTGTTTAATCTGTTCCGGGATGAACAGACCATGCGTGCAGTTCCACAACATCGGTATGATTGATGAAAGAATTTCTTATTCCGTTTGAAAGGACTGAGTTGACAATACAACCAAATTATAAGCCCACTGAACATGTCTTGGAACCACTGAATTGGAAAATATAATTTTGTCCGCGTACATAAAGAGAAATTAAATTTTCCTCGAATAGCAAGCATCGTTCTTTCTTAATGATCCGAAATATAATGGGATGCCACTATAGACACTTAATTGTATCCTTCGGAAATTGCACCAAGAGCAGTTGTTAGAACAAGTTTATAGAACACCAAGTAAACAATGAAGCAAATAGGAAGGATTTTATCAACATAATGAAATGAAAATGAAAAGCAAACTTGAGAACAAGGTGAACCTATACATTAATGTTTTTTTCTCCTCAAATTAATGCGTTTCTGTATCAAGGCTGAAAGTAGCAGTAAGAAATATTATGCAGCAAGAAAAAAACAAATAAAAACCAACTAAAATTCATCTTTTCATGTTATAAATACTGTATGATTTAGCGAAATCATTTACATAGTAGAGATGGGAAGGAAAGTTGTTTTTGACAGGTATATGAGAGGGATATGATAGGCATGGCCACAAACCTAACTTACTCAGTCCCTTATCACGAAATGCACGTGTCCACCATTCTTTTACGAACTCCCTAATCTACAATCCGACAGCAATAGGCGTCTAGTGTTCAGGAACACCAGTTTTCATTCGATTCAAATTTGTACATTTGTCACTATGGCAAGATAAATGGGAAATCTCAAAATACCGCATGAATTTTTGTGATGTTTGCTTTAGAAAAACCATGAAAAAAAATCAAATCGACTTAATTCATTCTGAAACTAAACATAAAATTCTTTTGTTAGAAATTACATATATTTCCCATTTAAAACAAATACCTTTCCTTTTACAAAACCAGCACCAGCGATATATTTCCTTTAATTTCGGATAGTTAAAACGAAGTTCACAACATTTTATATAACTTACTGGGCGCAGTGCCGGTTGTGTAATTGCCTCCCGATATTACAATAGGAGGTACGACCGTCCCCACCACGGGTTGACTTGGATATGTTGCATGCGTTGTAGAATTAAAACTGTTAGCTTGACCTAGACAAAAAGTAAAAGATCTTTAAAATCTCTCAAATATTAAACAAATGGCAAATTTCTAACAAGACATTCTGCATCTTTTTCAGACACTGGACGTCCTCTATCGACTCTTATAATAAACATAATGTCAACCAATTTTGTTTGAAGCCATGCTGGAATAATGCCGTCGTGTGCAAGAGGTCGCTACACGCAACTTAGGACACAAGATAAGCGAGTGAGGTTGTGAAGGCACCTGAGGCTTGGGATAAGTCAGGTCAGTGAAGTTGTAAAGAAGCGTAAGATGAGGGAGACATGCAGAATGTAATATTTGTTAATATAGAACATGCGGAGAAGGATAGTTGTAGCGTGCCCCAGTGATAACGATGTGATCGCTGGTAGAGGAAGCGGCTAAATTGACAGGATATTGGCTCGGGTCTCTAGAATCAGCCATCAAAGAACAGCAAGGAAATGAGCGGTGTGTCAGCATTTCGTTTCAATCAAATGTTCTTGGGGTTTTAACTCCATATCAAAACATGTCGTTAGCATTTCACACCATTTCGCACAATGTAGATAAGGAATCGGATCAAAACGAACGATATGTAGCATGGAAATTTGGAATAATGCTATAATTTTCCTAACAATACCTGCCCGAGTTGAATATTTCTTGTTTGAATTGCTAGAGCGCAAATTTACCACAGGTAAAGCGACACTGACAGAGTTTGAGTAGCGCTCGAAGTGAAACGAGTGCCAGTTTATCAGGATTTAAATAGCATTGTTCAACAAAAGGTTTTGGTCCAGATTTTCTCCACAATGAATAATGTTTCGTTAATACAAAAATGAGAAATAGTGATCTAATAAACGTCTGATATTCTAAAAATTGTTGAAAGAATTTTACGATCACTAATAAGCTGTCACTGGGTGCTTCTCTGTATGTCTCGACACAGTCTGAACAAAATATTAGGTTTCCTCCAACAAAGACTACCATTAAATTAGACTGGTCTTAATTTATAGTACAGCACCTAACAATCGACAACCCCCTCGAACAGACTGTCCTGAGGAACAGGTCTGTAAATGTAACAATATACCGGCTTTCCCCTCTCTAGTTGTGCACTTTTTCACCGGTTACAGCTATTCGCTGATAGAAAGTAATAAGAGAAGTGAATTCATAATCCTCATTGGCAGCCAACTATAACAAATTAGCACACACAGAGGGAGCTCTGTTCCATGTGCGTTTTTTTGTGTTGGGAGTCGTATGAGTACAATATAATGCTATCTAATATAAATGATTATAACGTAATAGCGGATTAGGTATATTAACGTTTAAATAAATGTATGGCCGGTTAGCAATGGTATCCATAAAATTATATAATGAGGATTATATATGTATATATATTTCTAAATATCAGTACCGACAAAGCTGAAATATCTGATATACGAAGGTTACACAACAAAACTCAAACCAGCCAAAAACATAAATCGATCACAACAAAATATTTAAATTATAAAAAAATAGAGTACAGGAAATACTGATAAAATTAAATCACAATGAAAGTGATATTATATTCCTCGATGTAAAGCGTATTCTAGAGCAAGAGGAGTGGTTGCAACTAAAAACTAAAGCACACTAAAAGTATTAAATTTCTAAACATGAACCGAAATATTTTAATACTACAAAATTTGGAAACTAAAACCTCAAACTTTCATACACAACTGTAGTAGCTGTTATTCAATAGTGGAGTCTGTCAAAATGGACACTTTAGGATGAAATGAATGTATGATAAGCGAAGCGTGATATAAGAGCTGCTGAACCCTCGGCAATACCCATATATAGTGACCAGTGGTTCATTTATTTATGCGAATCCCTCGGACAAAACCAGAATATATATTATCAATAGTCACTTGGTGAACTTCTCGCTTTACCCCCACATTTTTTTTCCAAAATCAAATACTAATAAACGATTCGTTCATGGTCGACTGACAAACCATCTCCGACTTTAGACACATGAGCAATACAACTCTGAGGGGTGTGTGTAAATACAGTATTAGGACCGTTTTATTGTTACAAATAAAGTCCAGTGAAATATCGAGATGAGGACAGATGCTAGAAGTGGGTGCTGTTGTTAATTAGGGAATGACCGAGGGATAAGCAACTCAGCTACATCGGATTCAATGCAAAAATTGAAGACATGCTTACTTGTAAACTGCCCCGTAAATGACGGCAACGGAGTATGGTAGGGCTGAGTGAGGGTGGGCTGTACGGGTTTAAGCTCTGTCAGGTTGCTTCCACCTGCTTGGGAGGGGGTTCCAGGCTTAGGGGAGGGCGTTTTTGTGTTATTATTATTGTTGTTTGTAGCTGTGATATTTGTAGTTATATTGTTGTTTGTAGTGTTTGTGTTATTATTGGAGGGAGTTGTATTGTTTCTGTTGCTTGCTGAAAAAGGGGAAACAAAATTCATGCTAGGTATTGCACAATGCACAACAATTACATGACATAACACATTCAAATGAATACATTTATGTATATATGGTCAACATAACTGATACAAAAGCAACATATTATTAAAACAAACTGTAAACGCGGGACAGACGTACTGTTACAATTACTAGTTTAAAGACTACACACTTTTCGTTTGTGGCAATTTTTCTTTCATATTTCAATCAATTTCGAAAACTATGGAACAAAAATCAAAACTACTGAAAAGCAATTAATAAAGAGTCGTAAAACAAACCATACAGTTATATAATTTTCATAAAAGGTGATATTAATGCTACCGTGAATTTTTTCCATATATTATCTTTAAATTTTCACAATGCTCAGTATCTCTATCAGACCTAATCCTCCTTAACATCAAACCATCAGAGAGCCTTTTGTTACTTTTCCCTAGCGTTAGAATGACGTCATTTACCGCATGTCCTTATCAAACATCTTACACAAACTACTATCAATATTAGAGCCCGAATAAGGCACTTCCCCATTGTACGCTGAAGCAGATAATTCACAACAAATTCTGAGATTTGAACATCCGTCCCCTAAGGTTCCCCGGATAGTGAGACTATCGTGATTGCATTTTACGACGCAACGAGTTGTGTCAAATCTGAACAGATATCAAAATCAAAGAAGTTCTGGAAAACCTATTACCTCCACTTCAGTAGTCCATCACAAACTTTATCATTAGCTTCAAGTCATGTCAGTTGTATCTGTGAAAAATTACCCAACACCCGTCCACAAAGTATCAGAGAAGGAAAAACAACTGATCTGATCTACCTAGCTGTTTAACATCTCTGTAGTGATTAATCATGATTAATGAAACAATGAGTGTAGTAACACAAATACCATACTTTGGAAGAAAGTTTGAAAGGGAATCTTCATCTAGAATGAGTAAAATATCCGTATTCTGTTTTAAGATGGGGTTTTTTCTCTATAATTTAACACCCTGCAGCCTACTGTTTCGTCTTAAAGATAACAGTATCCCGATAATATCTAGCACTGGCAGAGAAGAACAAGATGTTTCTTAGGAGGGAATAACGCTGCATACCTTCAGCAAACTCTCCCGGAGGAATGTGCTCGCTCGTAATTCGACCATCCGCTGTCACAGTAACTATGACTGGCCTCATAGACTGTGCATTAACGGTTATAGGCGTGGTAATGGGTTGACCTCAAAATCAAAATAAAAGCGACTCGTAAACTAAAATTGTCAAACATACTGTGTAGAAAATAATAATTCGCAAATAAAAAGACATGGGGGTATATATATATAATACAGGATAGGTAGCAAATTTTTGCATTAATAAAATAAATTGTACTTTACAAAATTCTTATTTCCGTAAAATATCTACGAAAAGCAGGGACTGCAAATTAATACTGGACTGATATTTAAAATAACACAAGAACAAAAAAGTGCCAAAAATATACAAAGACTGCAAATAATACATAAAAAAAACCCAACAAATACATGCAATTAAGTTAGTCTGGTGTCACACACGCACACATACATATATATATATATGTATATACTATGCAAACTAATTATATACTACTACAGAAAGTACACTAACCTATAGATGGAGTATAATTGGCTGTTGGGTTTTGAGATTCCGAGTTAGTCACAGTCCCTGCCATGGCGGTGGTGGGCATGGTATATTCCACTGTTTTAATCGCATTTGTTGACGTAGATGCGGTTAAGAACTGAGTATTATAAGTTGGGGGGTGACCCCCTGGGGTGTAGATTTGTGCCCCATTTGGTAAAATCACTGTTTGATGTTCTTGTGGTGCTCCATTTTCAGTGCGGGATAATTTTGGTGGACGGGCCGCATACCACATCTAAAAGTGAGGGGAAATATTAAGAGTTTTCATAGTTTTTCTTCCGAAACACTAAATCAAAATAGCAACAAATGATATGTGAAAATTCACACAATTCAACTGAATGATTTTATACAAATACGAGGTACAAAGATTGTTTTTGGGAAGATACAATGAAGTTGTACAAACGTTGATATTGTCAGTTTTTACTAAAACATTACCACTAATTCGGTATATAAACAACCACAATATTTATTTCTTCAATTACATCATAATACAATGATTCAGTAACAAAAAAACATAATAACATAATTGTAACATAATAAAAATGCTTTCAATTAGAATAATAAATGACACAAATATTTCTAATAACAACCGAATATCACAATACTTACATCTACATTTGTAACGTTGTTGTTATTGCCTAATGGCTCTGTTTTTACTTCCGGTTCATGCCCGTTTGTAACTGAAAAACGAAGCGCACACCCGTATAAGTTATATCACACTTTTGAAATTAACCATTTATTTAATTGGACTACAGTTTGTGTACATTGTCATTTGAACTTAAAATATACCATATGTATGAAGTATTTTAAACAGGTTACCGACAGAACGTGTTACTTGCTTGCTTTTCTAAATCGTCTTCATGATAAAATGTTGACCGTCAAAATAGATCAAATAATAACACTTTTGAAATGCAGTGTTTCATATGTTCGAAATGGTATTTTGGTAAAATTATTTTGAATGCTTTGGGTCTTTGGCCATGGCCCAATCTAATGACTAAAGATTCCAGTGAACCATTCCTCAATTACTATTAATTTCCTCCTCCGATCGTGTTCCGTACTACTTAACTTCTAAAGCATCGGCGCATTATAATAGAAAATCGGCCGAAACATCCTGAATTCTGCCAGGCTGGTAATACACGCCAGTTTGCCGGATGCCAATTCAATGCAAGTAGCATTAAGTTAGTGACACATTCAAGAGGTGTCTCTTTTTAACGAGAAGACAACGAGACAGAAATCTGATTTACTGTGCAAAAAAGCACCTCCAATAAAGTCGTAATGAACTTAGTCTGATGGCACTGGTTTATTCCAACAATCTGATTCTCACCAATAAGTGGCATCTACACAGTGGTTATTTGTAATCCCTATTGATAATAATAGAGTTATCTTTGATTGAATTACACGATATCGGACGTGGACCAATTCATGACCACATTTACATGCCAGATAGGGTGTAAAGAAGCTGCCCACTCTCTCACGCACACAAGGGGCTAAGTGGATACAACTACAACGAGTCCAGAAGGCAAGAGGCTGTACCTCGAACGCGCCTCAAACTCATGTATAAACTTTATGGTAAGGAAGCGTCTGTCAAGAAATTTTGTAATTTCAGTGTGATGAAATGTTTAAATTAGCAAATATTTTGAGCAGAAAGAGATAATGCGACATGGAAATTTATGTATCCAGCAATTAATAACTGAAGTATTTTAATGGTAGCCGAATATACATTACAGTCCCCGAAGTCATCGTCACCGTGTACATTAATAGTCCCCTACGTCATAACAGCCAGACAATTTCTCTCATGATTGTCTATCAGGTAAAATGAATATGCTGATGGACAAACAGTTCATACTGCAATTTGTGTTTGACTACTTTAAGATAAGGTCGGTTTGTTTCAGACTACCTAAACAGTGTCTGACGCTGCAGCAGTTAGGAGGCACTTTAATTGCTGCTGCCATACTCGGGAACTAGGATCATTTAATCAATCGATTGGCTGTTACCGCCCTGAGGCTACACGTGCGACAGGTAACCCGTACCATCCTACTTATCTCATCGATTTATTCAGCCCGCTAATTATTATCAGTCGAGGTGTCCTTAACTGTAAATGGACTCATCATATTGGCCACAGTCATGTTACTGATAGCAAAGCCACACGATCAGAGTTTACTTATTGCCGCTAATGCTAATACACACCGCCGCTTACTCATACGTTATAGATACTACGGTAAAAATATGCACATTTTTACAATTTGGATATTACTGTACAAAAACAACCTTACCTATTACGGTACATGTCATATAAACATAATGTATGTGGCAAATGTGTGGATATAAATAACATTAGCAAATATTAATGTTTTTAATCATACCCAAATATAAAGTAAATACAGAATAATTTTATGATTTTAATACCTATTGTATATGGCTACAAATGAGAGCAGATAAGATGAGTGAAACGCAATGCGCTAACGCACTATTAAGATAAGATGCATATATTACACAACATGAATTCACCAGTACATCAGCCCTCCCATACAACGGAACCTAAACCCACATGTAATTTCTTTGCTGTTTTATGAACCATACAGGGGCATTAAATAATGTATTCAGAAAATAATCGGGAAAATACTTCCAACTCGGGTTAAGACTAAAATGTCTGAATAATGACTCGATAAGGAAATAAAATGACGCCTGATTTATAAACTGACATATTGATTTTGAACCCTTCCAACCGTTTACAAATTAACATTGGCCACGAGCATCACTTACACATGTTTACTATTGATTATCTATTGATTGGGCGAGGTTAGTGTCAGCTAGCCCTTCCTATAAACTTTATTGCATTTAGCCAGACAGGCGTATCATGTAGTTTTTCAAACCTTCGTCGAATCAACTACAGATTTATTATCAAATATATCTTCTTTTTTTGCAGGATGTTCACATTGGCCAGGAAAATATGCTTATCCAGATTTATAAACACACAAGATAATTAAGTATTACTTACATCCTAATAAAGGTAAGAAAATGGGGTTTTAGCATTTTGAGTTATGACTTGTCAGAGCCAACAAAGTTTTGAATAACCTGATAGCCATCAACGATCCACGTGTGTATGAAAAAAATAGTCAATAAATTCCACTATACTAAGAAATTGCCGTGCGGTGAATATTCTTAATGAATTGTATCATTTTAAATGTCATCTTGTAAAGGTATGAGGGAATTGAATAAAACAACCACACCGGAAGGGCTTAGCCAAGACATATTTTTCTCCCAAAGATAACATTTACAGACTACCATTGTGAACAGGCTTTTGATGATTAATTTTATAAGTTCTGTGACAATAACAATGGCTCTTGAGCTCAAAAAAGCGGACACCAAGCCAGCTGATCTCTATACAGTCGAGTATTGTATTGTTTTGGCACGGCTTTGCGTTATTTTTCATTCCCAGTCCAGATATAAGATAATACGTAACCGAATAGCGTGATGGACAAAGTCTGTTTTCGTGCGACATTCTTTCAACATTTGGGACTCCGATAAACCAAGCTATCTCCCGGGTGGTGTTTCGAGATATACACAAACTAATCTGTACCATCTATCCGTTTTGTGTCAGTCCACGCATTGATAAAATCTCCACCCATTCTGAAGTTGTTTTAAACGTATAAAGCAAGGCACCGTTCCGTAATGGATTTTCCCAAGTGTTTGGTAGTTACTGTATAAACGTTTTCTACTTGGGTCAGTGCTAATTAGTAATTATATGCAGTTCTACTATGAATATATGACAGTTTGGGGTAAAATCTACTCTAAACTTCGTCATCGTTCTTAATAGTCCCCACACATTAATGGTTCATAATAGCTGGTTTTGTGTTAAAAGGCTAAGTCTGGAGTGTATTATACCTATATACGTCCTTACTGTGACGAGTGAGAGAAATGGATGAGTGAGGCTAGAAGGCAATGGTCTATTTCTAGATGTGAAATCAACACTATATACAGGTGTACGTTAGTTCCGCTTCTATGACTGTCCTTAAACGATTATTTAGTTCTAGTAGTATTTACACTGTTACTAATGAAATTAACGACGATTTCTACAATTATACATGGGTGATAAAATCGAAGTTATTCAAAGTATTTCAACATTTTTTTTATAAAAGAAAATATGATTAGAACCATACTTAAGTGACATGGAAAATGTACTTAGAACATTCTTAAAGATTAAAATATCATCATTTTCAAATTAATTAAATCTCCCCCTAAGAACTGGATATATATATTTGGTAGTATTCCAGGTTTATAAACACACCCTGGAGCGTCCAAATTAATTGCCCCACGCGAAGCACCTCCGATATCGTCAGGTGTTAGTCATAAGTAGCCGACAGTCGACTCTACTTAGGTTTGCTCTCTAACTCAATGAATGCAAACAGAAATTCCAAGAAACGATATTATTTCTGTTTTTGTCAAAACGTGTTAATGACATTTTGTTAAGACTATTGAGAATTTCAGCAATTATTGTCTGGTGATATTTCGTCCCTGTTTTCTTTACAAGTATTCTTCTAAGTAAACTATTCTTTTCATATAAAAGTTTTCGTTGATTTAAAGAATTCTACTCAGGTAATTTCTAATCAATTTGTACCACGCTTGCTTCTAAGCAATAGACAGTCAATAAATATATAAAATGTATTCCTTACCTGGTTGGTCTTCTCGTTTTCTTTTTACGCTGGAAGGATCAGCCATACTTTGAGCGTTTTGATTTGGAATGCCCAGTATCCCACTTATGGAATAAGTTCCCGTCCTCTGTAGAGAATCGGCATTTGGGGAGGAGGTATGTGACAGAGGGGGACTCGAGGCATCGTTGGACGGGCTGGGGGAACCAAGTTTTGCCTGGTCTGCCATTCGGTTACGTACAATTCTGAAAATATGATAAAAAAATTGTGATGAAGATAAATATTAACTTATGTTCTGATGTTGCTGGTAGTTATAATTTTAATATTTCCTTTTAGCTCCAAAATTCAATACATCATCTTTAAAAATGAATAATGGTTTTGTGACACGTTGAATCAATATTATACCATTTTTTGTAGAGTCGTATTTGCATGTGTGTTTTGTACGTTCTAAGTACAAGACAGTGCTGACCATAATTACACTATGGCGAGACAATATCTGTGAAAGTCATACATCATCAAAACGGCCTCGGATCAAAATGGAGCACAGCCATGCATTTCCCAAAGCATAAACAACAGCACATCGCCGTTGTCAGCAGGACATCTTTGAAAACTCTATCGGTTTACTTTTTCGTTTTGCCGAATTGACATGTATCATTGCAAACTGGTAGCTAGTTTCGGTAAATTACCGACCGCCAATTGCCTTGCCGTTCTACTTCTAACGCCTGTGGTCTGTCGCACCGAGGAGGGCATGCTGGCTTTCTCAAGACTCCCTACAAGTATCCTACGCCAGGAATGCTCTTAATGAGATGATTTACAACTACACAAGAGACTCCGGTGTTTACGTAATGGTCATCTATGGGGCTGGTACACCTTTACCATCACAAAGCATAGGAAGTCGGATCAGATCAGATAATTTGCTATACGAATGAACTTATCCGATGCTTCTTTACTTAGTTTGGTGCCTTTTACAATGACAGTTGAAAGAAATGATTAGTTTTTAAAACGTTTATGTACAAAGCATGCGTTTGTTGTTTGTATTTATTACACTTTTACGGAACAAAACTAAAGTAAATATAACCTAAAACAAGTTAAATTGGTTCATAGAATTACAAACTATCACCATAACATATAACATGTTTTTTCTAAAATTTCTAAAATTGTATAGCTAATCACAGGACGTGTTATTTTTGTAAGACCTTTAACATATTTTGTTCGACGTCTTTACAAAGTTTGAATCGTTGGAGGAGTAATCGAGTAAAACAGAAATAGACGTAGTTTAACATTGTTTTTGCGTTCTTTTGTCATCTGAAGATAAGTACTATCCGGAATCGTTTAACAAACAGTCAATGCTCTTATCGGAATGTCTGGGTATTGCATGTTTCCGTCACTCCCGGGTTTTGTTATCTCTTGGAGTTTCTACGAGACAAACATCTCTGTTTCTTTTGTTTGCCTGTCTTGCGGTATGAGAAACTAAAGCCGACTCTCGTGTTAGGGTCCCGAAGAAGGGGTCATATCTGTGATGGGACACCTGAGCACACGTTTGACGTTTCTTACAGTGACATTGACGACTCTTCGACACGGAGACCCAGGGTAATCCTTTATATCATCATCCAACTTTTAAGACTAGGATCTCGAGGATCCCCTTCACTAAAATATATCCCCCAACCAATACCTAGAAATACGACTTTTCCTACCTATCCCTAACAACTACTAGCTGAATTCCCGCATACTGATTTTTTTCTAATAACTTTGACCCAAGTGTGATACTAACTGCAACTTTATTATAAATTCACCGAAAATTCATATAAACAGAACGGATCGCTATATAATAACAAATGTTTACGTAATATTACAATCAATTGATATATTGGTTCCTTTGACCTGTTCAGTTTGAGTTTTGACTTTTTAGTCTGATGTTCAGTTACGAAAAGAAATGGCATATATTCTGTGAGTTTACTTGTTAATAATCTTTAGGCTTATGTCGTTCTATTTAACAAACCCTGGCGCATTATATTTCTGGTGATTCTGAACACGAATGTTTAAGTTGGATATTCTATAGCTTGTGTCATACTATTAATTGTTAAAAGGTACCTATTTATACGAGCTGACATTACAATGTGTACCTGTGATTATAAATATAAACATATTTCAGTGATTTGTCTTTTTCTGGTACACTTTAATCTCAGATGTACTTGTGGATAAACTCTATGTATAAAATCATGACGTGAATATGACGGCAATAGTTGTGAGGTGTCTTTCTAACTTCAGCCTTCCATAGTTGTTGATCGTGTTCCGTTAAATGTTGTGTGCTGAACCTTTTGATTTTAGTTTTTTGAATGAAAGGGTAAGGGTGGCGTATTTTATGGCCTTCGGAAGGTACCCTATGTACGTTTGGTTTAAAGTTTAACTGCAGCACACCGCTCTTGGCTTGTGGTGGGTAATTGAGGCCCATTATTGGTGGTCTGTACCGAAGCGACCTTTACACGGGACCCTCACAGGATTCAGTGAGCACGTAATTCTTTACTAACCCGAGAGGACACGGGACACTAGCATTGTAAGGCTTGGCAGTGGTAGAAAAAGGAGCAAGAATTCGACTGTAAAATGTATTTTGCTAGTGTTTCGTCGTTTCTGTCATTCGATACCCGTCACTTGGATCCACATCATCAGAAGCTAACTGCCAACTGTACTCAGTGTACCCATCAGAAATAAACACACACCGGCCGTCCGCTATCCCTACTGTACCCGGTGATTCCTCATAAAAATTCAATGCTAAACATAAACTAACGCGGCCCAAATCGCTTCCTTATAATGGTGATTGAACACGCAACCATCCTCGAAACAGTTTCAAATTTTCCAGCAATTATGTCATTTTCCAGAAAGATTCCGCGGAATCACGACAAACTTCCCGCTGGAGTACGCCATCTGTGGTAAATCACGTGGCCCACGTCTCCAGGCCGTGTTGTCGCACGTCAGCATGTGACGCCATGTCCATGTACTTACAAGCATTGCCTTCAAGTAAACGTTACCGTTCAACGTCGGTAACTTATACTCATAGTAACCAATATCCGATTATTCCAATAATTATAAAACAGAAACCAGCGTGATATTGTGAAACTTACAATATGCACGGTATATCAGTAGTTTCAGTGAGGGTTAACTTATTTTCCAATAAAGAGGGAGAAATTTTATGATTTACAATATTTCATGAAGCTGTAAAGATGCTTTCCCATCCCATTTATTATGATAAGTAAATAATGTATGTTTGATTATTTGACTATGTCCTTGACTAAATACTGACGTTGGAACCTACAAACGCATTTTTATATTAAATATTATTATACAAAATCATTTTTATATCTTATTTATTTTGTTTCTATATAGAATAAAGCTCCTAGTAATAAATTAATTCTATTTCGTGTAGCGCCTCGTAAGAAAGGCGTGTTTAAATGACCTCTTTAAATCAAAACGACCTTGAGGACATAAACTTAGATATAATGTAAAATTATCGATATAAATGTTCAAAGATAAAACCACTTTGACAAATCATAAATATTTAAAAACAAATAATGCATTTGTACATAGCATTTTAAAAGTACCACGTTTATAATCAAATGTTTTTATTTATTTTATTTATTAAACTGTAGAATGTGTTTTGGCCGACAAAAATCTTTCCCTACATATGTACAGTGATAAAAGTGCAGTTTGCTTTGAGCAAGTAACATTACGCTATATAAATAGACAATAGGGACATTTTTAAACATACGATAAAATAACAAAAGATATATATTAATAGACGACAAGGACATATCTACAGATTTATAAAGGAACATATAAAGTCATATTGATAGACAACAATGGCATATTTACAGATTAATGAAGGAACATATTAAGTCACATTTAAAGACAACAAGGGCATATTTACAGATTTATAACGGAACATATTAACCATATTTATAGAAAACAGGGACATAGTTACAGGTTAATATAGGAACATACCAAGTTATATTTATAAACAACAAGATGATTTTAGTTTATCATGATAGATTAACAAAATCAGTCATATTAACTGATTGACAACAAGGACATGTTTTACATATAAACAACGTGCACAGCGTTTTGCAAGAGACATTCAACATTGATTGTCCCTCTCTACGAATCTCTCTACTTTCACTCTCTTTTTCTTGTGTTGGAGGCGTTCCTTATTTCTTGTTTGGCTTGTTTGGTATAACATCTCGGTCGGTTTTAATAAAGATAAACACCAAATGAAATATCTGCTTTAAAAGTACACGTGTTGCAACAGAATGCCTTTTGAAATATGTCTATTATTTCGCATTTAAACGCTGCCAATTGAAATCATGTACTGATTTTAAAGGGATATTCACATTTAAAATGTTGTTTACATTAGTCGTATATTTGAATATAAAGTATGAAAAGTTCTTATTAGACAAATGCTACATTTTAAACCTGGCTCGATACGCCCATTATGTTAACAGCAACGTTGTTGAAATTCTGACCTATTTTACGACATTTGCCTTTTAATTAGAAATACGTGATGGTGGGGGACATTTGCAGTCAATCCTCGTCCCTTATAATGGTACTGTGCATTGCCTTCACCACTAACAGCTGTGAGGGTCATCGTTTCTCAGTGTCAATAAAAATAAAATTGCCGAATACGAATACGCTCGAATAAACCTTTATGAAGCTCCATCCCTCTGCCATTTGCCTGGGCATCAGTGATTCAAAAGGAGCGACTCATGCAGAAAACATACTAATTTGTTTATAAATACGTGTAAGGGATTTATAATGGAAGGACAAAACCTGTCGAGAAAGCCGGGGCGAGTTGGCAATAATGGGTTATTTCTCATATTAAATATCGATTGTACTCATTGTCGTTGTACAAGACAAGAATTATTTGATGAAATAATAAAATGTAACGGTTATTTTAGGAGACAGGCTGCATTGTTTCATTTTATCTAGGTTTAAATGTAAGAATTGTTAACATTTCAGTTGCCAATATTATGATACAATAACAGTTTTATTAATGTTTGAGAATATTTTCATAAACATATATCAACATCAAACAAATTTAGTCAAATAGTTTAATTGTTGTATCCTAATATTAAAAACTATCAACAAATGTACAAAATATTTTTGCGTAATAATAAAAGTAAAACGGGCTGCTGATTTTAAGTTCATTATAATTGTTTCTGATGGATATAGATAATTGTTTGCATGACATTTTGTATACGTCTATACTAAGATTGTGAATCTACATACTTGTAACAGTGAATACGTGCTATCGGCGTGTTAGGGTGGGGGCTGAGAATTTGCCTTGTCATAGCAGGCTGTTTACTTGGTCTGGTTTCTCGTTCTATAGATAGGGTCAGTGCGAGCAATGTGATGTAACAACGATGTATGTTTTATAAATATTGATACTGTGTAACAGACGCAGGGCAAACATTTCAAAGAGTTAGATCTAGCTCCATCCACAGGAACACCAGTGCGACGAGTGCACAGCGTAGATCGGCTTCATGCTCGATTGAAACAGAAAATTTGAAAAGCAAGATCTAAAGGAAGTCTCTTTATCTTGTAACTTATGATTATAACTTCTGTACAGAAATGAACGTTTTGTAACTTTACGTCGGGTACATTTATGTCGTTTTAAACACCTTACAACTAACAATTTACCCAAGAGCTGTGTTTGATTATAATAACTAATAAAGTTTGTGTAAGTAAGAAATGGGCTGGGAACACTAGGGTAGAAATACCGACGCTGATAAAATTTCTAATTGATCTCAAATATGTACATTTGATATAACCGGTGGCTTACGGTAAAGATTGGAACACTGACAAGGCTATATATTTTACCTTTGTAAAAAAAATAGGCATCCCATCGAACCTAGTGTAAATCGTCGTCTTGTTTCGTCTTATACATTTGTAGGGTTTGATCGTTTTTAAATTAGTCATAATTTGATAATTATGATAGGCCATATTTTTCCTCCTGGGGTATAAAACTGATATAAGGAGTTACAAGGGTTAGCATACAAAGGGAATAGTGTACTTATAGTTTTGGAAGAGACACCTAGGCAACATGAGTTGCTATTATACATTTTCCTTTGTAGGAGATGAATACACAAAATTTATCTTCACAGATTACCAAGGCTCTGTATCACCTAGGTTAAGAACTCCTAACAGCTATAATGCTTAATATTTCCTCCAACAACAAAGGACCAAAGGGATCTGGGAATTTATTTGGTTGAAAGTGGGTTACGAGTAAAAGCGTAAGACTGCAGTTTGTGATGTGCCCACCCAGACATTTAATAGGTGCAAGTGAAGCAATTAGGCAATTAAACTACACCATCCTTTTACTATGTTTTTGATATAATGCAATTGATTTTAAAGAGGTGTATAGATGTTCTTAGTGTCAGATCCCTACTAGTGACACTCAACCATTTAAAATAATTGTGATATCAAAAACTACATCAGCAGACGAACGGGTTTGCTATTTGTCAGAGATATCATATAATTATATGTGTGTTATTTCATGTCTGAATTCATAAAAATAAGTCGATATTGGATCGAAAATTCTGCAAATGTGTGTAGGCAGAATTGCCTTAATGTGTTTCAAACTAATCCGATTTCCTAGAATGTATCTTTAATATTCTGGTCCCTACAATGATATCATATGTAATACATCATGCTCTGGCACCAATCGTGTAGAACTGTTTCTTATTTTATAGTGGGTAAATCGTCCATAGTATAAGTAAATGACAATGCCTTTGTTTAAACATTTCAATCCTATATTGAAGCGCAGAGATTTGTGTTAGGGTAATAGACATCCACAGGAAATAATATCTATAATGTTGACCATGCTCACCTGTTGATGGAGCTAACGCTCGGAACATTTTCGGACGTGCACACCAGTTCGGCCAGTAGTCTGTCTCTAATCTCCCACGCAAACATGGTTGGGTTTTCATGTTTGTACCTTGTAATGGCGTCGACAACTTTGGGTGTGGCGACTTTGGGTTTAGAACCTCCAATCACCCCGGGTTTAATGGAGCCCGTCTCGTAATACCTTGAAAAGTAAGAAACAAATGAAACTATCAGTTAAAGGCAACCACTTATAAATTGTTAGATAAGTGTACATTCCTGTCCTACAATCAATTCATAAGCTAGAAACAAACAGTAAAAAATCCTAAAAAAAAATCATATCTTTTATCCCACGTTTATAACTTCCAAGTTGTTTGAAAGCAATTCACGGTGAAACAAACATCAAGAAAAATGTCCACTTCATAAATGAAATGAGGAACCGTTCCGAATTGTCACCATAACTATGTTATTACTTAGTATTAGCTCAATCTGTAATATGCATTGATGCGAAATAATACTACTTTGTATAAATGAAATTTGACTCGATCATGTATAACCAACCGAAGTAAAGTTTTGACATATTCATTAATATTGTTTGAATTCCCGAGCTTGTTGCATCCTTCGTTACACATCAGTGCGATATTTTACGTTTTAAACTGAAATGTTTGTCTACCATATGACGCTTCACTCATGTTCTATGTCCTCAGGATATTGTTACACATCGGCAAGTAATCGGATATATTGTATAACATTAAAAAAATTATCCTCATGTACAACCAATGTAAAATAGAAACATAATTATTTACTAATAAATATGACACAGAATTGGGGAAACAGCTAATTCCTGTCACAAAATAGTAGATCTTTGCTCGCTTTACGATATGTTTCATATAATTGAAATATTGATGTTAATGTGCTATTTGTGATAGACGATATCGGCTAAGGGTTATCAGGGACTAACAGGCAAACCAGGTCTTATCACAATCATCTAGTTGTACGGGGGCCACTTGGAGCTCACATTTATAAATAAGCCGATGAGCAGCGCACAGCTGTGAAAAATTGGAGCCTGGTTTTATGTTCTCGTTGTTAATAAAACATCAAATAATTAACCTTCCACCAACACATATCCATACACTCTCACTTCGAAATATAAAAAGATTTGAAGGAATTTTTAAATAAAAATATAATAGGAAGGACATGACTAGCCAATAAAACGGCTTATCAGAGTGGAGCTGAATGCAGTGTTGGTTGTATTTTTGTTACATCTGTTTCTTTCCTGTTAATTGTGTCCCCGTGTTGAATGTAACGACAAGCTGTCACTTTATCGAGACACTTATACGATCAACTATGCACATGATAGAAACTGAACCTTAAATTGTTTTCACATATACAGCAACCATTCACTCTCTATCTCGGTGACAGAGGATGAAAGTAACCGCTGGATAACATACCAACTCCTAGTGTTAGAAATGGAGCAAAACCACAATATATAAAGAAATGTATTAATCCCAACAACATGTTCTAAGTGTAAGACATATATCTGACGAGCGTTCGTACCACAGGATAACAGAAATGTATTATTCTATTATTCTGAAAGGTAACTTCTTGGATAGACTAGCTACTAGACTATATATTGATATGAACATTGGTTTTTAACAAATCGTTTAAAGTCCTAGCACCTATGCTCCAAGGTGACATATGATAGGGCAACGACATATACATTTATCTATTTATCATCTCGTTCAGCATTATTAGGATGGAATATATACTACTAGTGATATTAATAATAACAAAGCCACCTTAACATATTATCAAATAATTCTCATTACGCATATTTTGCAAACACATTTGCAAAATGAGGCAGCTAAAAGTTTGTTCCATAACTAGAATGCTTTAATTTGTCCTACGACAGATAAAACGCTTGTCCTCTTAGACATATAAATAGAAATAACAATTTCGTTGTACACGGAGACTTCACTCAGGTAAACTAAGTGCTAAGTTTTTAATGTCTGCTATCGATAAAATATAATTAAAGTCAATGCGTGTTTTCTTTAGCCGAGATTATTGGATTTAAAGTAATCGTGCCTCTCACGCTAAGCGAGAAACATTTTAAGTATGAACCACGACTTTTACAAACATTTAACAGTTCTTCAAAAACAGGAAACAATAAAAATATTTCTGCAATTTATAAACATATTTCATACTGAAACGTCTTTAACGAGAATATCTTTTTCAGCATACACTACAAGGTGATATTACGTATATTATACATAACAGTATATCATTATTGAGAAACAAAGCAATTAGTACGAGACGCACACATCAAGTAATTGAAAGTTCTGGCTCATCTAAGTATGTCCCAAAATACGTATTGATAAAATTGGATCATAGATATATCATCCGTGTGGTTACCTGCAGGACATCATCGGTGCTGATACCAAAAACTTGCTGGAGAGTGAATCTAAGGTCGAAGTGAGAAGATGCGGCTATTTTCAATACTGATAAACCCTCACTGACATGTTATTTTCTTACTACTGAGAAATGAATTTGGACATCAAGTTGTGTTGGTATTCTTGTGCCTAATTAGACAAGCACAGGACCCGAGGAAACAAGTTCGTTCCCCATCATTGAGTATCAAAGCCTGTCTTTTTTCTGCCTTGTTTAGGCCAAATTTCCTATATATATCGCACCAAGGTGATCAGTAGAGAGAAGGGGCAATACTATGTACCCTGTATCCACGAAGCTCTCCAGTAACCCGAGCTAGCCCTGTGGTCGGTTAACCCGTGTAATTACCGTGTGTGGATGTAGATACAACAGTCACCCTACAAAGCGATGTGGTTTGTCCTCGGCCACGAAGGGACAATACAACCCCTTATCCTTACCCATAACAGGCCCACCCGGTTGACCCCACTCGCGTTCATCTGGTCAGATCAGTACCGAATGCACTGGTCATAATTGTTGCGTGCCGCACTGTCCGTATTCCACATGCCTCTCATAATTGTTCTTCTGTATGCCTAATTAATCAGGGGGGCTCGTAATTCATCCCGGCTCTCAGTCTTGTATTTATAGTACCCGTTTTATCTTCCTAACTTTAGGTACACACTAACAAGATAAACCAATTATAGTTCCAACTAATCCGTATTTCACGAAACAAGAGACGTTTAAAAACACATAAAATAGTTTGTCAGATAAAGTGATATAAGTTATATTCAACGGAATATTTATGAAGGCAGAACAAAGACTTTTCTATTTTAACTGAACAATGAAACAAAAATGTCAAGCGTTTTGTAAATAAACTTGTTATTTAAGCTGAATAGATGACTCATGGGGGTACAGGGTCATGGCTATTGAAAATTGACATATATTTCATTTATTGATTTTAAACCCTTTTATAAAAGCTTTATATCTGTTTCAAACACTAGTTTATATACTAGTCTGTGTAAAAACAGACCAAAACCCTGAAGTCGGAGTATAATGACTGTTTCAAAAAATGGATTATTATAAAATTATATTGAATAACTATACAGTACAAAAAAACTGATGTACTGATGTCTCTCCCCAGAGATCAAATATTGACCTAAACACATTCTATAGCAAATAAATATTTGTGCTTATTACCAAACCGACTTTCACATTTGACAGGAATATGTCAACTTCATTCAGATATGGATAAGAAAACAAAAAGATGTCATGGTGCAATACGGAGAAATTAACTTTAACATCAAATTGCAATTTGCAAATACTATGATAAAATACTGTGATTGTTTTCCCTCTAAAATCAATTAAAACATTCAACAGCGATTGAATTATTTGTTATTTTTTCCAGAAGCATACTACATCAACTATACTTAAGTAATGTTAAAATGCGATATGTCAATATTAAAAAATAGCCTTCCGAGACTCCGAGTAATATATTAACAGGCAGGGTACCCATAAAGCGGTTTCTAGAATTAAACCTGTGTCAACTAAATATGGAATATGTTCAAAACCTCCAGTAGTCAGTGTACCATCCCACCAGAGCAATGCATTAAATTTTATCATTAACGACCCATGGCTACATTAACGCCTCAACATATAATATTCAACGCCAACTGATGGCAGCGAACGTTCCATGTCGTGTCATCTAAGTTTAATATCGACTGGGCAGGTTGATACGGCTATTTGCGTGGTTACTAGGAGTAGGTAACCAAAGACTGTCTCTGTGGACCTTTCACATAAAAGCCTCAAAAGTAGCACGTTGGAATCAAAGATGAAAGACCCTGCATTATGGTTGGAGGCAAAACATACTAACCTGCTGATGGTTATCTACCGACCAGCAAATGGCTCGTTTTTATTTCCAATCGTTTCATTTAAGAAATGCCGGCTAACAAACGATGATTAATAAAACTTGGACATGCGAACTGGTCTGCAGTTGTTGGCAGAGAAATAAAAGAATTTAAAAGGAAAGAAAGGAACTTACCTCCCAAGAATTTTGCTGACACATCCGTGGGATACTCTAAGCTGCCGGGAGATGTCGCAGGGGCGAACTCCCTGGTGGGCCAGCTCCACAATTCTCTGTCGCACCACATCGGGAAGTGGTCTCCCGTTCACAAATACACCTCCTAACTGATTAACCCCACCATGACCTGAAAATGGACAAACGCTTCCAAAATTATATGAAAATTCAAAAATGTATTCTCTTTATTTACTTTTGTGATAGAAATTTTGTGTTAAAAAAATGTATACGGTTGAAAAAATTATAAGAAAAATATACAAAAAATTGTGTTTAATTTTATCTTAAAAAGAACGTGATAAGAAGTTTTGAAGGTATCTTTAAAGTGTTTACTCAATGCACAGTTTTTTTCTTATTGGTTTTAAATAGATTTTTTTTAATACCTAATAAGGACAAATATTTAATCAAACTATTTTAATTGAACAGAATTATTTTACAGGATATTGATAAGTTCTAATTTCAAAAACATTATCACAGTAATAATAGTTTGTGCCGATATATATACTATTTTGTTTTATTGTTATATGACAAATGTTTTTATTAAATATTCGACAAGAATAAAAATATATTGAATATATTGTGTGTAAGAATTTCTATATATATTCTAGATCTAACCAAAGAAACAAGACACATAAAAACATCATCTTCATTTCAAGGAAAGCAATAAAATGAAAAATAAAATAAAAATTTGATTGAGAATATACATTATCATGACAAAACGAAGTGTTATATATAATAATATATTTATTTGCTAGTAATTAATTCGCTAGTTTGATATTAAGTAAGCGAAAGTGTACAATATACACTTATTATCATTTATAGAAAAAAAGTTTTTTTTTAATGTTTTGAACAGCGTGTCCACCGGAAACAGTGAAGATTATTATAATGGAATTGTTTACCCGATTGACAGACTAGACGTATAATATACACGGACCAGTAAAGTTACAACAGTACATACCTAGGCTCATTTGCCGTAAATAAGTGGATAAAATGGCAGCCTTGTTATTGTTTTAAAAATCACTCGTGTAAAAACAGCGCTTGACTTCACAATGGTATATTTCCTATATAATCAGGGCTAAATACATAATCTACGAATTAACAATACTGTAACAAAAATAACGTTTTAAATCGAGTGCAGATGGTGTAAGTGTGGATATATGTTTTAAGTGCGTATACACGTCATACACATAATGCATATGTATCCAAGCTTTGTATTAGGTTCGTTTTTATTCGTTGACGACTAAATTGTTTTTTAAATAATTCGATTAAAAATTATTGCTATGTTTTAAATATTTTCATATGATGTCGGACTTTGTCCAATAGGAGGTCAGTGGAAGGCGATCAGGTAGTGTCATATATATACATATATGGCATACAGATATATATTGTGAACGAGAGGCCCCCGCCAAACAGACATCACAAGCACACAACATGAACACATAAATGGAATTAGTAACATATCATTCATTATCAACACTATATTATTTTATATAATGCATCCAACTTATTCTGTTATTATCTTTCCAAATAAATTTATTAAGTATATTTTCCAAAGGAAAATTCTTTCAGGATATTAAAATGGCATCGCATCAAATGTAAATTATATAATATATTTAATATATAGTATGCAATAGATTCAGCATCAATTTCTTTTAAAATATATCATAGAAACACATTTTCGATAGAAATTAAATTTCAACAAATTTAGTTAATTTTGAAATATACTTTTGTTTCATATATTTGACATTAAGTATCACCACCATAAAACAGATAATAAAATCATAATTATACCATTATAATGTATAGGTCTTTAATAAAATGTTCTATTTATCAATTTACCAATTTAATGTTAACCGGAACTTTTAAATATTCCGCTTGTTCAGAGGTAAATTTAATTGTAGGTATCCGCATCAGACGTGTATAAAAGATCAACAAAATTGATTAATAACATTATCATGAAGACATGTAAATTTCATATTATAAAGGGCATTTTTCATACAAAACATCAGATTAAATTAATACGCGTCACGAATACTATAGTGATGAAATTGTAATTAATTATATTCCGAAATATCATCAGATAAATAAATATAATAAACATAAACTTTGGAAAATGTTTTTATAAATATCAAAATAATTTTCCCTGATATTGTTTTTAAAATATGTTTTGTTTTACCTGCAAATACGTCGTACGAGCGAGGAGGCAGTTGGTAAGCTAGAGAGTGTGGTGCGTATGATCCCCACGTGTTTTGCATGGTTGGATAGTTAACCAAATACTGACGAGTATGAGAGGCTCCTTTGGTGTTATGGGATACGACTGTGAGAGGAAGCCATGTACCCCGACCGACCGCGGTATTGTGTACAAGTCCCGGTCTACGCAACAAGCTATACGTTCATTTGACGGAGTGGGTTCACAAGGCTTTGTGTTCATCCACACACTAACAATGGCCTGTGCATACCTCCAATCGGGCCCACCTCTAAATGACGAGACTTCAAACAATACAACTTCATTCAGTACACCATTCAAGGCTCTAGCCCAGAGTTTTTCATTGACTTCAGTAATTGTCTTCGTTAGCAACTTCCTTCAGTGTAATCCTTGATTAAGGAATTTTCGTCGATCACAAATTTTCAGAAATTTGGTATTTATACATTATTCCATTTCTATTTTTTCATTAAGAATTCTGCTTCAATACAGAATATTCCATGTGAGAATACTTCCACTTTTTCTCTGCATTTTCGAAAGGGCAATCAGAAACCATATTTAAATGGTCAAATTTATCTTCCACCGTTATTTCTTCCTTGTGTCAACTTTAGCCGCCTGTTCCAGTCAATCTATTTTGGCGGTATGCAATGTGTCATTTCTACGACTCTCGGCAATTTAACGCCCCAAATGTCAAAGTTGCTGAAACATGCACAGAATTTAGTTTCAAGAAGAGATAATGTCTAATATGCCGCCATTACAGTACGGAACAAATGCCCCCACTTGTTAGTCAAAAGAACATTGGGCCAAATTGGACCAATTTTGCGGTATTACCATCAATTCAAATTGCAGTATTTTTGCTTGTTGCTTCCTTTTGCTGCAAGTTCAAAGTTTTTGCCCAACTTATATATTTCCCTAATAACTCCGATCTCTCAAAATTAGCCACATTAGGTAATTGATCGTGTAAACTGTTCTGAATATTATATGTGTTGTATTGCACTTAATATCAAAATACACGACTGGTGACTAGTAAAGGCCAGTGTACCGGCCGCGGAGACCAGTGAGAGTAAAGGCTAACAGATATAACAGGACGCTATAGACTGGGCCGTGGGACCGCCCTGTACCAATCAAAGATGCTCTTAATAAAACCACAATACCGCAGCAGGCTGCTCACCAAAAACAAACTTTACTACTTAAAAGTTAAGATTTCTATAAGATCCCCGATAAGCTATGGTGGATATTTTTCGCCAAAACATCTGACAGCAGGTGAGAAAATTGATGTCCGCGCTTTGGGCGAGATATTCATCAATTGTGTACAAAGAGAGAGTAGCCTTGATCTATACGAGTGACACTAACGGAGTGTTCTCCATCAACCTAGGCAAAAGGATCAAGAAACAGCGCTTCACCATTTTTACCTGGCCATACCTGCACTTTACTTTATGGCAGGGGACATCATCAAATCGAAAATTTCAATCTGTAAGAATGATAACATTGTCGTATGATGTATATGCCAAATGTATACACGTGACCGAGGTACCTGTTTGTACGCCCGGTGGTGACAAAACCCAACATTAATGAAGTAGTGGACACAGGCAAAAACTACTTAATGTAATGTGAGAGAATAAAATTCTGTACAATGTTCAGTACTCCCCGGAGAACAAAACCTACGTCGTTGTCGAAAAATGACTTCGTACTTAGAAATAGAGCACTACCTTACTGTCGAAATGGATTAATGTATGTTCAATAAATTCCTTAATGCAGAAAACAATTACGACATTTACCACTTTCTAATGAGTGCTTAACCTACCAGTTCTAATGTTGCACCACTTACCACGAACGTCTGACAGTCCTTGTAAATAATAACAATGATGAAGACACCAGAACCTGACTGGAGGTTTACCTATTACACCATTACCTGCTGTAAGTTAAACACTGTTTGTGGGGTTTGGAGGATACGTTTTAGATTGATATATACCGACTTTGTTGGTGAGGCGTGTAGGCTCGTGTTATGCTATTTGTAATAGATTTTCACAATGGGACAATAAACGGACTACTTAGGTTCTCCTGTGCTCTGATCCGAACCACGGGTCCGACAGTGCTCGGATGGCGTGATGCAAGATGTTCAGAAAAAGGTTCCGGGCGGGTACCACTACTACGACATTGCCGGGTCACCCTGCCAATGGTAGACTAGCGATCCGCTATGTGGCCTATGGAACTGTTGGTGAGTTATCAGGCTAATTTGGTGCGCGTTAGTCCGTTGAAACTATGACTGCAATGGGTACGAAATAGAGCCAGCAACCCGATCCGTTAATATGTGGATACGCATACTCATTTCAGTGAAGCCGGTTTTACGGGTGAGAGATCCAGTGTGAAGTACAGTATAGTAATATATGTATGTGGTACCGTATCCTGACTAGTAGCACACTGAAACGTGTGTTACACATAAATTCTTATAAAACGTGTATACGAATTAATCAACAATTTATCATACGGACCATGGTTTGATCATTCAATAACTGCAGTTGCCCATATTTGTATAAAGCACCAGTTAGTTGGTGTGAATAATAACACAACCAACCCACGTGTACAACAGTCACTTACTTTTACAGGAATGGTAAAAATCCACCATATTCAAATTAGGATTATGATATCGATAAGCAGTTGTCAAATCCATGACTGGACACCTCTTTAAGTACTCAGTCGAATGTAGTGTTCCGGATGAGGAGGGATCACCGACTCCAATTCCAGAGCTATATTGTTCCGGTATCTGGTGGCTACAGGGTATGTCGTTGTTTACTAGATTACAACGAACTCTGCCCCTCAGATTGCCGTGTTGCTTCTGTCACTTCTCTTCGTAATCTCTCAACTGCAACTATTTTAACCAAATTGATGCCTTTTTGGCATTTAGTTTCACTTTTGAAAGCAAACGAGAAGCGTATACGTATTAAGAAGTATGCATCATAAATATTACAGGTCAGTGCTGGTTTATAACATAATTCAAGCATCATAAGCAATGCATCAAAAGATAGTATTTCATACGGATGATCGATCAAAGTTAGACACGCCTACCGAGCGAGAAGTCCAGCCCACCTGAGTACCTGCCCAATTAACCATATAAGTAAGTCACGTGACTTGTCGCCAAGTGTCCCGTCCTGTCAATCTAGCGAGGTGATGGGCAATCAGTGGGTTTGTATTAGCTCCCCACAAACACCGGTGGTGTGTAACACGTACACTGCCTTTCCGTGTTTTTGTAAACACAGGGGTCGACATTCCATTAGAAGAGTGACCACGTTTTATGACAAGATGTATCAACAACTAAAAACTCTTCAGAGGTAGCAGGATAGTGACCACATATAAAATAAAAAGATTGATACGTTGGTCTTCGGCGCTACTTTCTTGCACCAGAAGTTATTGACTCGTGTGGCCGTTGACTAGTGTCAATCCGTGCGACCATTTGTCCAATTACCAATGATTGTTTAATGAGCCGCCATCCCAGCGCTCGCAGCATAGTTTTAATACACGATAACAATCATCAGTGTCATGTTAACACCGTTTCTTGCCCGCGAAAGTGTTTAAATTTTCATATTGTTGCGGGATGGCAAGGTCAGGACCGTAGACTGGCGTGAAATAATTTGTACCACGGGAAATAAGCCTGTTTCTGATAGACAGTTTGAAAATGTGATGAAGAAACACAAAAAAGTATCCGTCATTTTATTCTTCCTCGTGCTTGAAAAAATAAACATTTTCCTTTCATTATAAATGCATATACCCTTTTCAAAGAAAAATATCTCCCAAAACACCTAATGCATTTTAGGACAAATGGTTATAAAACCACTTTTGAATGTTTTAGTGTTATTTGCTTGTGTGTTGAGATATCCGCTATCAGGCCTGCCGTTAATCTGTCCGAGTGTCTCACGACTTGACAGTCCTCATTCTCGTTCTGGAGATTTCTGGCTATTTCGCCTGATTAATCCTTTATTGAGTTGTCAAGCACCATACAATTGGGTATTGGCGCTTCTTAACAAACCACGCGGCACGCAAAACAATGGCCTCACGCAATTTTCTCCCAGCACGAACACCGACTTGTGTTTATAAAGCGTCGAACAGTATTCGTGCACGTGTTTTTCGTTACAATATATATAAAACATATTGAATTTTGTTATTATCTTGATTTCACTAATTTCTAAACAATAATTTATAAAGAAAATGGATTTAGAAATTGCCTTTGTAAGATGATGACACTGATAAAAAAAATACACAATATGAATTCAGAATTGACATCATTATTCTGACAACGGCTTTCTATTTCTTTATCACCTTTCTCAAATAATCATTAAGGATGTTTGGAAGCAAAATTAAAACCTGGTGAATAGGGAATTTACCTAGTCAGGAGGTTTTGTTTCATGTGGGTTTTAATTATATTTTTTTAGCCAAGGAATCGCATATTTTATGGAACATCTGAGTTAGAACTTGTGTTATATATACCAGACGATAATGAAAAAATATCCTTGTTTACATTTTCTCAATTAATATATACCAATCTTTTCACTCTAATGATTCCCTGAAATCAAAACTAAAATAATAATAAATGATCATATTTTTTTAAGAAAATATTTTTGTAGATGTGATATCGATGGTAAATATAAAGCCTCATTATGAAGCTAAACCTCCTAGGGAGGCCATTAGACAGACACACGGGTACACCTGGGTTGGTCAGCCAGCCAAATACATGTTATTGTGATGGGGCGTTATCACTTTAAGTAGGAATTCTAACAAGGGTTCGTGTTAAAATAGGCCTCCTCACGAGATCTAGCCATTTACTTGACAGCGGAGGAAAGTTGCCTCGACAGAACGACATCCCAACCGGAAGTTCAACCCTTTGTTAAACCCGAGCAATTCTCCATTCCGTAATTCTAGACAATTTCTGCCACTTTTGGATGTTATGTTACTTTGCTTTCTAATAAAATACAACTCGGTCTTTGTTTGGGTTATACCCGACTGTGTTGTGTTATGACACAATATAAAGCTGTCACCGAACACTCTGATAGGGATTCGGATAACCTATACACATGTACCCTCACGTCACTCAAACAATCAACCCTACCAATTCTATTTTGTCCACAATTACATTCTAAAAAATACTTTCAATTGAACTGTTTTTTAATCCAGCACTGAGAATCCCTGTGGATTTAGTTTTGAGTGTACATTGATACCGGCATAGTATTTAGTTTGTATAAAACCTCAAAAGGACGTCAAAAAATAAGTCTAATAATTTTAACTTGGACATGGAATAGTTAGCAAGAAATAGAATATGACTTCCAATTACAATAATTATTAAATGTATTGTAAATGTTTCTCCTAAGTAAACATCGCTATAGTTCATCTTTTACGATATATAGACTTTCCAATACCATTTTATTTTACAACCCAATGCAACATGAAACTGGAAAAATATAAAACATTCTTCTTAAAATACACAGCTTCTTAATGTATTTTTCAAAGTAAAAGAGTTATGTTGAACTAGAAATATACATATTAAAATAGGTTTCGGGAAAATGATGCTTTATGATAAATATTCTGATCATAAATAATTATGAATGAGGATATTCTAAATATGCTCCTGAATATGATATGATATATTCTAGCAATAAAGTATGTAGGTTAGGTCATGGAGATGCAGAAGATGGGATTTAAGGTCACTCTGCTCGCATGACTCCCCAAACATGGGGGCGTGGCTAAGTCTCCTCTCGTTCACTGTAATATATACCCGCATTTACACACTCCACATCACGTACATGCGTTATGAGTTTATGTGGTAGGGAAAGGAAGATTAGATGGTATTCTATCAAATCATATACTGTTTAATTAAAGAAGGCTTCAACTATCTTTATGGTTTGTGACTTTTAATAATGAGCCTGTATGTAAAATACATTATTAATTATAAAACAAGTGTTACATGAATTAATGGATCAATGTCATATTATCTAGTATTTTTCTGTCCCTGTATTGAACGGTTATTAAACTAAATTAAATATGTTCAGCTGATCGTCGTATAGGACATGACGCCAGTATAACATGTTCTTATCAACAACACGGGACATCACAACCATTACTCTCCTTATTTATTAGCTTAATTAAATTAAAGCAGTGACACACTAAGAGTTAATAAAAATGATTAAGGGTTCACACGTTAAAAATAGTGTAAAGAGCATGTTGTTTACAGCAAAAACAATGCAACCTGGACTAGAATTAACGTCCATATAACAAACAGTAAATAAGGCATATATTCCAACTAAATCACTTTCGATAATTATTGGCTTTGGAGATCTACGGTAAAACGAAATAAGATTGAAATATATATTCTAAATATACATTTAAGGTGATCTTTACTGATTTTTTTTATATCTTGATAATGAAACTTTATTTTATCCCTTATTTAGTTAGTTCTTTATTACCGAAATGTCAAAAATGATCTGATAAAGAAATTAACTCCATATATGTATTGCTTGCTGTCTTTATAATGGAAATATCAAAATGTCATTTAATGAATTCATGTTTATTTATACCCGTTTGATATATTTTCTCCATTATCTAAATATAAAAATATAATAACAAAATATATAAATATTGCTTGCTTGATATGGTTTTCTACTGTCTAATTGTTAACGAGCTGTTAATATATCCTGTAATGAAACCATGTATATTTATATAAGCTTGATCTATTTTTTATTAAAAAAATGTTGAAATATCCTGTATATTTATATAAGCTTGATCTATTTTATTAAAAAAAAATATCCTGTAATGGTACCATGTATATTTATATAAGCATGATCTATTTTTTATTAAAAAAAATGTTGAAATATCCTGTATATTTATATAAGCTTGGTCTATTTTATTAAAAAAAAATATCCTGTAATGGTACCATGTATATTCAGACAAGCTCTATCTATTTTATTAACAAAATGTTAATATATCCTGTAATTAAACCATGTAAACTAATACTAGCTTGATCTATCCGATTGACGAATGCTAAAATATCCTGTAACGAAACCATGTATATTTATACAAGCTTGATCTACTCCTTTTTTGTTAAAATACTTGTACACTTTGTAAAAAAAAACACATGCATATTTATACTAGCTTGATCTACTTATTAACGAAATGTTAAAATATCCTGTAATAAAAACCATGCATATTTATACTAGCTTGATCCACAATGTACTTTCTCTATTGATGAAACGCTTGTACACCTTGAAATAAAAACATGTATATTTATATCAGCTTGATCTACATTATTATTGAATGCTAAAACAAGTTGTACATCTTGTAATAAAACTATATATTTATATTTGCTTCATCGACTTTCTTTATTATCCAAATGTTTATGGTAATGTGTATATTACAGAAAACCCTCAAAAGCGAAAGGAGAGGTGTTTTTTTAAATGGTTATCCTCGTGAATCTTATACTGAATGACAGTCAATGATGCGGAACTAAAATGTCCACAAAATTTCCTT